ATATATACCTCTTTGCCTTTTGGCTGCGTGCAAGTGGGTCCTTGTGACACACGGGGATGGGGGCAGCCAGCGCTCAACCTGTCATCCACGTGGCTGGCCTTGTACGTAAGAGGTTATGAACAGGTGGAGCTTTCCTTACCTCTTCCCCCTCCCCCTTTTTTTCTTTTCCTTTTTTCTTTCCCCTTTTTTGCGCTCTGATTCACAATGTGACAATATATATCGTCATATTCTTCTCTCTCTCTGCCTACGGTTTACCGGGCAGTTCTGTTTGTGACGATATATATATACCTACGGTTTACCGGGCAGTTCTATTTGACGATATATATACCAGCAGACTAAAGAGACCAAGGCCAAGGCCTGGTAAGGGGGGATGCCCACATCACTCCCCCTAGTAGACCGGAGCTCAGTCTTAAAAAAAAAAACGAAAACAGAAAAAATAAAAATAAAAATTGAAATTCACCAAACTGAATTTGAAATTTGAATGTATCAGAAATACATAATAAAAATAGAAGGGTGGGTGAATAAGTTTAGTATGCATGTGCCACTCATCACTACTCTCATCTGCAAGCTCCAGATCCCACGGCCAAGGTCCGATGTGCTGGAATGAAGAGACACATTGGCCGTTGATAATAGAGCAAAAAGAGGAAAGTGAAGAAGATCAACCGCCAGTATCTCTTAATCCATGCCCTCATCTATGGTCTTCACACGAATCCAATGCCCGGTCATTATTGCCTGTAAATAGACTGAAAGTTGCCCGAACTCCAGCTATTCATGATAATGACTGGGCATTCTATCACCACACGAGAGCTATGTCCGTGCAAAACACCTGCGCAAGAATCTGGTAGTAAAATAAAACCGGAGGAGAGGTCAGAGGGGTGAAAGAGAGACCTCAGCAAGAGTGCCCAAGGGGGGGGCACCATGCCATGCAGATGTAGTGAATTATCTGCCCCAGACTGCCTAACACTAAACTTTTGAACGCAAAAGTCAGAAGTTCAAATACGGAACTATTTTTAGGAGTCAACTATTTTTAGGAGTCATAAGACCATATACCATGGCGATGACAACGAAGCAAGACATCTTAGGATGGTAAGTGTAGATGTAAATATGCTTGCATGCATACCTAGGCATACAAACGTATGGCAAAAACTGACATTTCGTTAAAACTGACATTTTTGTCTAAATTCATGAAAATGAGCGTACCAAAAAACAACATTTTTTAGTGTTTTTTTGTCCCCATGACGTCGGATGATCAGATCATCGGGTGTCGTGGCGACTCCCRATGATCTGACCATCGGATGTATGTTAACGRTACTTTACGTTGAGGTACATCAGATGGACAAAGTGAGATAACCACTTTCTCACCCGATGAYCAATGAAATTTT